GGTGCGGCGGGATTTTTGTCTGAGGTCAGGAGTTCGAAACCAGCCTGAACAAGAGCAAGACCCTGTCTCTACTATAAATAGAAGGAAATTAATTGGCCAACTAATATATATAGGAAAAACTAGCCGGGCATGGTGGCACATGCCTGTAGTCCCAGCTACTCCGGAGGCTGAGGCAGTAGGATCGCCTGAGCCCTGGAGTCTGAGGTTGCTGTGAGCTAGGCTGACGCTATGGCACTCACTCTAGCCTGGGCAACAAAGTGAGACTCTGTCTCAAAAAAAAAACAAAAAAAAAGAAGACACCCTAGGGCTTATTTTCAGGGGATGTGTTATTTTCCCCTCAAAGCCTCAGCTTGCAGCATGCACAGGATGGCCGGGACCTGACAGGGGGAGCTGACCTTGTTCCTGGGGCTGCCGCTTGGCTACGAAATGCATACATTGTGCAGATATGCTGCCTAGGCACCACATCACTACTAGGTCTTATTTTTGAGGTAGGGCTTATATTGCACAAATGCTTAGAAATCCTGCTAGGGCTTATTTTATGGGTAGGTCTATATTTTGGGGGAAACATGGTAGCAGGGCTGGGTAACTGACTGAAGGCGCTTGCACGTGTCAGCTTCCCTTCCGGTTCACCACGTGGCTGTGGCAGAGCTTAAGCGCCCCACAGAAGCGCTAGCCCGCGGGCTGGAAAGTTCCATAAGTGACCACTCCACTGTCCCCACAGGCTTATGACCTCTAGATCTTTCTTGCAACTCTAAGCTATCCCCGCTCCTGGACTCCGTAGTGCCTTTTCTTCCCTTCTCGTTCCCACACCCTTGTCCCCCTCAGTAGCGTGGAACTAACGGCAGCATCCGGGCTGTTGGCAGCACAGGTGCCGCCAGGTCTCCCGCCACCACGGTAGGTGGCACGGCAGACGTCTTTCGACGGCGACCCGGGCTCTAGGGGCACTCTTCTGGAGGGAGACCCGGGACCCGCAGAACCAAGTCACTGCGAGGGCCTCTCACTCTCGTCCCCTCGCCGGTGGAGCCAGGGCCGAGAAACAAGCACAGCTTACAGCCCCGCGGCTAAGCGGCCGACCCTCCAGTGGGAACCGGAGGCTACGGCGGGCCCCGATGCCATAGCCCATAGCCCCAACCTGACTCCTTGAGACCTTGGAGGAGGCTCTGGACATAGGAGCACAGCTCTGCGGCCAGCAGCCCTTACCTTCCGCATCCGCCATGTTACTCTGCAAGGCGTGCGTGCCACCCGTGCCACCACCAGGGGAACAACCGCAGCGTTCCGCCGCCCTGGTCGAGTCAGGCCGCGCCACTAGAGCCCGCCCACTCGCGCACCGTCCTGTGCGTGCGGCACGCCTAGGCAGTGAGGGGCGGGGCCAGGTAGGGGGCAGGGCCCGAGGCACGCCCGGCCTATCCGTGCAATCCCATTGGCTGGCTCGGCCGGTGGCGCGACTGCGCGTGCGCATCGAGCCTCACCCAGCTGGAGCTCGTGAACAGAGCTGTAAGCTCTAGCGGTGCCCGCCCCCGCGCCCCTTGGTCTGTGGGCTTGGCCTCGGCCGTCTCTTGGTTACCTCTGGGGTTACTTCCGGTGCTGGCGCCTGAACACCGGGTTGAGGACTCCGTGAATAGTATCTGTTTGCTTTCTCACTCGGACCCTTTCAGGTTGGTTGGTGTCGGATTAGTCCCAATTGAAAATATGAACACGTTGAGGCACAGAGGTTGAAAGGCCTTTGTTGCTTGCAGTTAGAGTTCCTATCCAGTTAGAGTGCAAGCCACTTGTGGACTTTTAAATTTTCCAGCAGCCACCTGGAAGAAGAGTGAAAAGAAAAAGGTGAAACTGATTTTAATAATAATTTTTGTTTAACCCAGCGTACCCAAAATGTTATTTCAACATTATGAGCAAAACACATTATGAATGGGATATTTTACGTTAATTTTTTGCACGAAGTCTTTCCAGTGTGTTTTACACTTACCCCACACCTCAATTTGAACTCCATGACCAGGCTTCATGTCAAGCGGCAGACATGAAGATGTAGCAGCGCTAAATCTCATAGAAACAGTATGGGCCTGGCCGGGCGTGGTGACTCATGCCTGTAATCCTAGCACTCTGGGAGGCTGAGACGGGAGGATCGCTCAAGGTCAGGAGTTTGAAACCAGCCTGAGCAAGAGGGAGACCCCATCTCTACTAAAAATAGAAAGAAATTAATTAGCCAACTAAAAATATATAGAAAAAATTAGCCGAGCATGGTGGTGCGTGCCTGTAGTCCCAGCTACTTGGGAAGCTGAGGCAGAAGGATCACTTGAGCCCAAGAGTTTGAGGTTGCTGTGAGCTAAGCTGATGCCACGGCACTCTAGCCTAGGCAATAGAAGTGAGACTCTGTCTCAAAAAATAATAAATAAAAAAAGAAACAGTATGGGCCTGGGTGTCATGAAAGGCAACGATCTGGAAGCTGGAACCAAACTGATTTCTCCCCAAGGATCTCTGGTGGTGACGAATTGATCATGGTGTCCTATAATAGACCACATATACTAGACCATTATCGGCATAACCCCAAATGCAAACACTCTAGGTCTAAGGGCATCCTGCCTTGAATCACCACAATAGAAAATCATGTCTCACCCCCATCCCTTATCTAATTCCCAGACCTACTCAGTCCACACGCCAGAGTCTGTGAGATGACCTGTGAAGGTTGAGGCCAGGTACCACAAGTGTGTACTTTAAACCTTCCTTCTACTTTCCCCTGGGACCCATGGCTGCTTACTGGGGACCTACACTAGCCTGTGCTAATCCCTGGGGACACAGAATATCATTGTGGTGCACTGGTCAGGAGTGAAGTTTTAACCCACGTCTCTCTCACTGTTGGCCACCCTGTGGTTCTCTCCCCAGTTCTTGAATTTATAATTGGAATAAACACAATTGGCAGCTGTAGAAATTCCCACAGGTGCTTCCTGACTTGAGGACTGAGGACAATTATGGCAATTCCCCAAAAGGTGAAACAGAGTTACCATATGACTCAGCAATTCTCTAGGTATAGACTCAAAAGAATTGAAAACAGGTGTTTAAACAAATACTTGTGCACATATGTTCATAGAAGTATTATTCACAATAGCCAAAAAGTGGAAATAACCCAAATGTTCATCAAAAGATAAAAGGATATGGCTGTGCACGGTGGCTCACTCCTGTAATCCTAGCACTCTGGGAGGCTGAGGTGGGCGGATTGCTCCAGGTGGGCAGATTGCTCGAGGTCAGGAGTTGGAAACCAGCCTGAGCGAGACCCATCTCTACTAAAAATAGAAAGAAATTAATTGGCCAACTAATATATATAGAAAAAATTAGCCGGGCATGGTGGCGCATGCCTGTAGTCCCAGCTACTGGGAGGCTGAGGCAGGAGGATTGCTTGAGCCCAGGAGTTTGAGGTTGCTGTGAGCTAGGCTGACGCCATGGCACTCACTCTAGCCTGGGCAACAAAGCGAGACTCTGTCTAAAAAAAAAAAAAAAAAAAAAGATTCTTCATGAAGATTAAAAATCTTAAGCAACATAATGGATTCAGAAGCTCATGAAAAGAGGCTACCAATTCTAAAATCTTCAAAACAAGATGTATCACCTCACATTACAAATGTTGGTGAAATGAAGCATTAGTTGTGTGGCTGCTGTGCAGCTTTCAACAATGTACCAATCACATTTCCTGTTCAGAAGGTCCTTTTTTGGCAACAGCTATATGGCATCAAAACCCAGGATGCGATACTTCAGTTGAGGAGGGATGGATTTCGAAACTTATATCTCGGAATGCTTCCCAGGTAAATGCAAAAAACAACCACACTGGCACTTATGTTTGGTCTGTATGAGGATTTATCCTGCCTTCTCCGCAAGCATGTCAGTGCTCCAGAGTTTGCAACCCGCAGCGTGGCAGCAGTACTGGCAGGGACAACAGAAGCAATTTTCACTCCATTAGAAATAATTCAGACATTGCTTCAAGATCACAAGCATCATGACAAATTTACAAACACTTATCAGGCTTTCAAGACACTAAAATGCCATGGAATTAGAGTTAGAGAGTATTATCGAGGGTTGGTGCCCATTCTTTTCCGCAATGGACTCAGCAATGTCTTTTTTTTTTGGCCTTCGAGGTCCCATTAATGAGCATCTGCCTACTGCAATGTCTCACAGTGCTAATTTGATCAACGATTTTATCTGTGGAGGTCTATTGGGTGCCATGTTGGGATTCTTGTTTTTTCCAGTTAATGTTGTAAAAACTCACATACAGTCTCAGATTGGTGGGGAATTTCAGTCTTTCCCCAAGGTAAAAAAATCTGGCTAGAATGGGACAGGAAACTGACAAATCTTTTCAGGGGTGCCCATCTGAATTACCATCCGTCCCTCATCTCTTGGGGCATAATCAATGCAACTTATGAGTTCTTGTTAAAGATTATATGAAAAAAATCAACAGTTAAGTGTCATTTATCAACTGAATGCCTAAGAAGAATGCAGTTTGGCCTCTTTCCTAATTGGCCTACTACAAGTTGGTATCTTAAGTCCAGGCCACAGTGAGTTATAGGCAAAGCTGTTTTCCTTAAGCATCAACAAAAATAGAATAAAAGGTTTCAGTGGGAAAGTTAAAAAAAAAAAAGATGAATGGATAAACAAAATGTGGTCTTGTTAGGGACCGACCTTCCACAGCCCCACCGGACAGAAAAGCAGAGACATCGAGGATGCAATCACACAAGAGGAGGTTTATTTTCTGGCTAGCCAGGGTCCAAGCCCCAGAGCACCAACGCAGTGGCCACTCTCACAGGCAAGGACCCCGACCGGAACAACGGTGCACAAGCTGCGCACAATCCGACTACGCATGGATCATGCGTTGACCTTTAAAATGATTGGTTGCCCACTATTGCCTTTTGAAATAATTGGTGGGTTGGTTGCCCTCTATTGCCTGATAGGCCAGTTGCCCGTGCTTCAATGGCCTCATCCCATAATTCCCCTTACAGCGGTGTAGCAAGCAAGCAATGACCAGAAGCAAAGGTTTGCCGTTAGCTCATTGCCCCACCCAAGTGAATTCCCGACAAGTAGAAGAATTCCTCTGCCCTTCCTCTGTCCTACAAATTCCTCTGCCCTACAGTCTATCAATACAATAGACTATTATTTGGCCATAAAAAAAGAATGAAGTACTGATACATAGCACAACATGGATGAACCTTGAAAGCATTGTGCTAAATGAAAGAAGTCAAACACAAAAGGCTACATATTGTATGATTCCATTTATATGAACTAGGCAAAATAGGTAAATCTAGAAAGAGTAAGCAGGTAAGTGGTTGCCTTTCCTAGGAGGTTTAAGGGAATGAATATGGGGAACGACTGCTAATGGTTAGAGGGTTTCTTTTAAAATTACATTGTAGTGATGGTTGCACAAGATTTCAAGAATTATGGCATAGGATGGATGCTCCTTGCTATTTTGGATAGTTTAAATTACAATCAGATTCCTTAAATTTTTGGTTCAGGCCATGTACAGAACCCTAGGGAATTTCTATAACAATGCTTAAGGAATTACTTATCTCTTACAGCCACAAGAATAAGATAACCCAAAACGAAACTTTTATATATATTCTGATCTGTCACCTTCCCAAATTATAAAAGTCAGTGAATTCACAGCCTTGTCAGGTCTCTTAGTACAATAGACCTGAGCAATGATCAGAAAAGCATAGAACTCTGAGATTTGAAATGGAAATTGTCAACGGAAAAAAGCCAAAATCTGGAAAATAATTTTAAAGATATTTATTCTGAGCTAAATTTGAGGACCATGACCCAGAGCCACTGCCAAGAGGCCTTGGGCAAGTGGACTCACTGTGGCTGGGTTACAGTTTGGTTTTTTTTTTTTGTTTTGTTTTCACTTTGTTGTCCAGGCTAGAGTGAGTGCCATGGCGTCAGCCTAGCTCACAGCAACCTCAAACTCCTGGGCTTCAGCGATCCTTCTGCCTCAGCCTCCCGAGTAGCTGGGACTACAGGCATGAGCCACCATGCCCGGCTAATTTTTTATATATATCAGTTGGCCAATTAATTTCTTTCTATTTATAGTAGAGACGGGGTCTCGCTCTTGTTCAGGCTGGTTTTGAACTCCTGACCTTGAGCAATCCGCCCGCCTCGGCCTCCCAAGAGCTAGGATTACAGGCGCGAGCCACCTCGCCTGGCCTACAGTTTGGTTTTTATACATTTTAGAGACAAGGGTTATGGGTAAAGCCATCAATCAATGTGTGGGAGGCAGACATTGGTTTGGCCCAAAAAGGAGGGCCATCTCCAAGGGGGGGGGGGGCTTACAGATTATAGGTGGGTTTAAAGATTCTTTAGATTGTAATTGGCTA